ACCATGGGTGACCCTGCTGGTTATTTAAAATACCGGTGGCACAGCCCTCAGAATCACAGCAATTCAAACCACCACAGCATGACAGACAGACAAGTGGCGGTTGCGTCTTTGCTGTTAAATAGGAACCTCTTTGTGCTAGGACCCTTAAGTCCGGCTCAAAGGGGGGAATTCCATCCTTGGATGTCAATCAAGAGGCGGAAGCGCAGCAGGGGCGACTGGGTTGTAGTGAGACGCTTTGGGCTGCGCTTGTGGGTCTCTTAAGTTGGTCGAACCTGCCTCAAAAGCCACGATCCAACAGTTAGGCTAGTATGGCGTTCTTGCATCCGGGGTTGGTAGGACAGCCTGGCCGGCCCCTGCAGTCTCTTCCCGCTAGGCAGTGTCTCCCCATCGACCTGGTCTCTAGACACCTCTCAGCCCGCAGCTCCGTGGTGTGGGTTTCATTTAACACCTCCACCAGGTCTGCGCAGTTTTCGCACATGGTTTAACCACCGCCCTCCATGATAGAAGCCTTCAGAGCTTCCCTATAGGTGCATGGATATTACAGCATTGTACCTCATGACTGATCTGGATGTTCTTTTTGACGACAAATGCAACACCGTTCCTTTTCTATTTGTCATTCCCTGCATAGTAAACCATGTGGTTGTCAGATTCAAAATGACCAATACCAGTCCATTTCAGCTCACTAATGCCCAAGATATGGATATTTATGCATTCTATTTCATTTTTTACAACTTTCAATTTTCCCAGATTCATACTTCGTACATTCCATGTTCTGATTTTCAATGGATGTTTACAGCTCTTTCTCTTCATTTTGAGTTGTGCCCCATCATCAAATGAAGGTTCTGTGGGCTTTTCTCCTACAAGCTTAACTCCATTCACGTCAGAAAATTGGGGAATGATTAATTTATAGGGTTAAATTCTGTCTTGTTCACAGTGAAAGTTGATAAACTACTTTAGCTGTGCGCCAAGAGGCAATAACCCAAGCTCAACGTACTGTGAGCCAGAATCCTAGGAAAATTGAGCTGATATTTTGCTGATGAAATACAAACTGTTCAGCATTTTAACAGGAATACAGAGAGACTCTTCCCCCAGACACATGTAATAAGAGATGATTAAGTCTGACTACAAGTCTGTGTGGTATATGATGGGTCAAACAGATTTATATGTGGATTGTTTAGGAAATCAAGTCACCATGTCCTACCTCATATCTAGGGGAAAATGCTCTATGGGTTCCAAAAACAGATTACGTTTTGTAACTCAACTCACTGACATCAAAATGTTATAGAGCAGATGACAGATGAACATTTTGAAGTAAGAAGCTTCTGAATATCAGTATTAGTTAAAATATACAGTATGTTTGTGGTGAAGTCAATTATTTCACATGTCTCTTACTGCCATTATCATTGTAAATGCCCATGAAATTATTTTCCTGATGGTTTGGGTAGGAGACGGTGGAAGAAGATACTAATGGATTATACAAGACAAGTTGTGAGTGAATGTTAACAGGACTAATTGGAATTGGTTAATTTTGCTTCCCTGCTGAGTATAAAATAAACAATCTCAGAAAAAGGAGAAAACTCATAACCATCAAAGACCAGGATTGGAGTACATCCTTTAGAATCCAAGATTCCTGCATGCTTAACCTCTGCAACCCAGGTCAGAAAAAAGTGACACCAGAGGAGTAACAGAAGAACAGTAGGAGCAGCAGATATAAGAGTCAGAGTATAAGTGAGAGCAGTGGACTTCTCAGCCCATAGAAGATGTAAAGTTTAGTGAATCTGGGTATGATGCTTGCTTATAGAGTGGAGTGCCTCTAGATGACACAGTGGGTTATACATTGGGCTTATAACTGCAAGGTTAGCAGTTTGAATTTGACAGTCGATCCAGGCAAATAAGTTGAGGTTTTCTGCTCCATAAAGGTTTACAGTCTCAGAAACATAAATGGGGTCACTAAAAGTAAGAACCAACTCGACAGCACACTACCATAAAAACAACAGGTTTATTTACCCACACAAAGCTACAGACAAAAACAATCAGGCTGAGGCTTATGGTGGAGTGCTGACCATATCAGCATTTATTAGAAAGAGGCCTGCCTATGGGCATGACTGAGCAGAAGCTGTGCTGATTGGAAGAAGTGAGCTCTGAGCATTTCTGACCTCAATTGTAATCTATTAACTTCCTTAATAAACCTCATAACTGTGAGTATAGTGTCTGAGTTCTATGTGGCCACTGTAATATATTATCACAACTAGCATGAATAGAGAGTGCTATGAGAAGGACAGTTTGATGAGGTTTATTTTTTGCAATCTTTTAAGTAAGAAGTATTTTTCAAGAATTAAAATACTGCAAAAATGCCAACATCAGAAAATGCTGGGTGGATGCATATACTATCACTTCAAAATATTTAGTTTCTACAAAAAGAAATAATAACTAAGAATCTTATTTAATGCCTGCAAACTTTGGTGGGGAAAAAATAACTGAACACACTTTCTATCACTTGGATAACTTTGTAACTCTATTCACAAATCACATTTTAGAAAAATGTGAAACTCAGAATATTGACTAGCTGGGACTCACCTAAAATTGGTTGGAAGATCAGAGTCTTCCCCATAGGCCGAATAGATTAAATCAGAATCTTCCTTGCTGATATTTGCAAATGTAGAATCATAATGTGGTGCGTAAGAGCTATAGGGTCCATAATTCAAGTATAACACTGTTGGTAAAAAATAAAATAAAATAAAAATGAAGTATTACAATATTATTCAACTTACATCCCAATCTACTTTCTTATTTATTGAAAGGTTACTGAGTTCAAATTTTACAATTAAGTGACAGGTGTATAAAACTAAGGCATTTCCCCCACATACATGTGAAACTCAGCTGAATTTTTCCCCATAAAGAAGAGAGGGAAGGGATTAAAAATGCCAATTTTGACTCAGTTTGAAAATTAATACACAATTTTTCAGTTTCTTTAAAATAAAATACCTAAATGATGTTGTGAAAAACATCAGTAATATAGTTGATAATGAAATGAATGGTAACTATTCTTCCTGAGAAAGAGAAGAAGAGGAAGGGAGAATTATCGCTGTGGGTTAATGCGCCAGACTGCAAAGCCATTTGAACTTCAAGGTCAGTGGTACAAGCTCACCAGCTGCTCCTTGAAAACCCTATACAGGGTCGCTATGGGTCGGAATTGACTCGACAGCACTTGACAACAACAACAATATATACACCAAACCTATAATTTACCTGGAGTTACTTTGTTCCTTTTATCCTCTTTAAACCCCTGCAGAGTATTCACTCCAGACTGAAGTCTTCCAGTAGTCATTCCCAGTCTCACAGGACAATAGCCTGGTTCTAAAACATAAAACCAAACACAGTGAGGGATGCATGAGAAGTACAACCACATGGTACTATTAACTACACTGCTTCAAATCACCCACATGACATGTAAGAAACTGGATTATATAAAGAACATAGTGTCTGAGTTCTCATTAGGATTGGAGGGAGACTCATTAACAACCTGTGATATGCAGATGATACAACCTTCTTTCTGTAAGTGAAGAGGACTTAATACTTACTGATAAAGACCACACTACAATATTCAATGTGGATTTCACCTCAATGTAAAGAAAAAAAATTCTCACAACTGGACCTATAAATAACATCATGTTAAATCAATCGAAATCAATGAGAACAAAAAAACAACATACCAAAATCTTTGGGACATGGCGAAAGCTGTGCTGAGAGGACAATTTATTGCAATAAGTGCATACATCCAAAAAGAAGAAAGAACTAAAATTATCACATTAACATGGCTTCTACAACAATTAGAAACAGACAAAGAGAGGGGACCCACAGCCACCAAAAGAAAAGAAATAATAAAGATCGGAGCAGAAATATATGAGATAAAAAACAAAAAACTATAGAAACAATCAAGACAAGAAGCTGGTTCTTTGAAAGAATTAATAAAATCAACAGACTATTGGCAAACCTAACAATAGAAAAGAGAGAGAAGACACAAATAACACGCATTAGAAATCGCATGGGTGATATCACAACGGAACCAAAGGAAATCAAAAGGATAATAAGAGAATACTATGAAGAGTTGTACTCCAACAAATTTGAAAACTTAGAAGTGATGGATACATATTTGGATGAACACGACCTACCTAAACTTACACAGAGTAAAGTAGAAAACCTGAACAGACCCATAACAAAAGAAGAAATCGACCAGGCCATCAAGACTCCCAACCAAAAAAATGTCCAGGCCCAGATGGCTTCACAGGTGAATTCTACCAAACATTCAGGCAAGAGCTGTCACCAATCCTACTCATATTATTCCAGAATATAGAGGAGGATGGAAAACTTCCTAATACATCTTATGAAACAAGCATAACCCTCATACCAAAACCAGGGAAGGACATTACTAAGAAAGAAAACTATAGACCAAAATCCCTCATGAACATAGATGCAAAATGTCTCAACAAAATCCTAGCCAACCGAATTCAGCAACACATCAAAGAGATAATACATCATGATCAAGAGGGATTCATATCAGGGATGCAAGGATGGTTCAACATTAGAAAAACGATCAATGTGATCCACCATATAAATAAGAAAAAAGAAAAGAACACATGATCATATCGATTGATGCAGAAAAGGCATTTGACAAAATCCAACATCCATTCCTGATAAAAACACTCAACAAAATAGGAATTG